TCCTTTTGCAACAAGTAAATGGGCCTTGTACTCGGTCAATGCTCTCATCTGAATAATGTTTTTCTCGAAAACTTGTTTTCAGCCAATACAATGTTTGTCAGTGGGAAAGGGAACCAAGGACCACATTGCAGTTTGAATGAGTTCTTTATGCATAGCCTCTTTCCATTTAGGAAATCGTCAACTTGCATAAAAGAAATAGGTTTTATGGATAGTGAGAAATGCATGATGAGTATTACAGAAGGAAGAGAAAAAGAGATATATATTTCAGGGGAAAGCAATACCTGTAGAAGAGGAGTGACATTAATCTAGATGGAGAGCAGACATAATCTTGCAACCTAGAAGGATTTTTGGTGAGTCTGGTTGAGTGAAAAGGAGGATGGAGGCAAGAGCTGCTAATTGCTATGGTGGTCTAGGGAGTTGGAGAAGCATGTTCATTAACTCCTGACATGGGAAGAGGAAGAACATGTGAAAATTTAGTTTTTTGTAAAAGCTTCACATGGAAAAATTGTCTTGTCTAAAGTAACATCCCAATGAACATAAAGCTTTTTTTCAAGGATTTTATAGCCCTTTTGGCCAAAGAGATGAGCAAAAGAAATCCCATGAAAGACCCTCTTATCAAACTTATGTTAAACTGTAGGATTGTGAGCGAATACAAGACAAAAAAAGACATATAGGTGGGTGTCAAGTACTTGTAACATGTACCTCATGGTTGAGTGCAAAAAGAAGAAGAAAAAGGTTAGATGGGAAAGAAATGAGAGAAAGGGAGATGAGAAAGATGAAAGATATCGATAGAAAAAGAGATTTGATGAAAAATTATATTCAATATGAAGCTTACCATGCAGAGATTATAAAGATAGATATTTAAACTTGAAGGGAATGAAAATTGCCATGAATCGCTTAAGATTCACCAGGGAACCTGAGAGGCGAAAACCCTAGACGATGAATGAGGTTCTGGCCTCATTTGCTTCCTGATCTCTTGCCATGTGTCCTTATTGGCTCATGGATTGCAGACATGTAGCCTTTCTTCCCTCCTCACTCGATGATGACACGTGCCCCCATTTTCTTTTTAGATGGTGATATGTGTTCACCCCATCTTTTATAAACCCTAACACCCTATTTGGATCGTGGTGAATGATAGGATTTTAATATATGGTATTTCACAGGTGTGAGAAAATTATATTTATTTCAACTTCCAATGATAGCAAACGATATCTGACCGGTAAATTTGTAATGAATTTTAAAACCACCGAATCGGTGGTATGTGACCGACATGTTACTTTTTTTTTCCTTGTACCCCTATATAATATACTTAATTCTATTTTTATCATCACAAATTATTATTTATTTTATTAAATATAAAAATTTAATTACGGTATTTGACCGGCAAATTTGTAATGAATATTAAAACTACCGAATCGGTGGTATGTGACCAACATGTTACTTTTTTTTTTCTTATACCCCTATATAATATACTTAATTCTATTTTTATCCTCATAAATTATTATTTATTTTATTAAATATAAAAATTTAATTTGATTATGTGAAATAATTATTTATTTAAATACAAATGTAATTATATTGATGAATAATTTATTTATTTTTTCATTACATACTTTTTATATACCATTTACTATTACATATAATATGTATGAGTAAATTAGTAATTTGACTGAAAATACAACCATACCATCCTATCATCCAAACATAAATATGTCATTAATATAAATTACTACACAATCATCCAAATATTAAAAAATTTGTCATTCTCATCCTATATTATTGTCATCTAATCACTGTCATTGTCATACATTAATTAATCATCACTAAAATTTATCCAAACAAGACATAAGTAGTGTTAATCCTTTGTTTTTTGTTTAACTTTCTTCTTTATAAACCCGCTTAGATCCCCTGCTTTCACCGCTATCTTTCTTATCGCGTTCCTATCCCGATCCTGTGCTTCTTTGTCTATTTTTCCTCTGGTGAGCTCGATTCATGACAATTCCCTCCCCTCGAGAATGAACCTTGCCCTCAGGGATAAGATGAAGAAATTGTTTGGATAAGGGATAGACATCTTTCTAGGTTCTCTCCTCTGTCCCTTTCCATTTGATTGACCATTATTCTTCTCATTTCCCATGATTATTGATCGTTCTTCTTTGCAAGATCTCCTCAAACTCCATTATTCTACCTCTTTTAGGTATCGAATGTCAAGTAATTCTTCCTTCTAACTCTGTGGTCCTAAGTGGTATTGTTTAAGTAGAGATACATGAAAGACTGGATATATCCTGGCGTTGCTGGGTAACTGAAGCTTATATTCCACGACACTGGTCTTCTTATCAATCTTGTAAGGTCTTTAAAATTTTGATGCTGACTTTTGGCTCTTTTTCTTTGTAAGCAAGGATTGCCTGCGGGGTTATAAATTGAGGAGGACTAGATTGCCTTCTTCAAATTGCCTCTCTGATCTGTGTGAATCAACGAACTATTTTATTTTGGTTTGAGATTCTATCTATTATTGCTTGAGGGTCTTGCTCATTTTATGCCTTTCTTTTAAGAAAGTTTCCAAGTCTGCAAAAGGAGTTTCTATGT